CTCCACAACTAGACTGAAGAACAAAACAACAGCAACTTGTCTGTTCCCCTTCCCCCAATTCCCCAGCACTGTTCCCAACCCCCCAATTCCCCAATAAAAATCTTAGGGGGAAAAAAAAAAGCTGTATGTGTGGAGAAGAATTAGGAATTAAAAAAAAAAAAAAAGGTTTCAAGTATCCTCAACCCCAATTTGGAAATGTACTGATCCTGAATAATGCTTCAAATGGGAGCAACAAGGAAAAAACTAATAAAATTCACATTTCTTTTTCTGTTATTATGATTCAAACCACAAATACTTATTGAGAACCTACTAAATGCCAGGCATTGTGCTAAAAATTTCAAAACAAACACTATATATTATTTTCCTTTAAAAACTGCCTATTAATAAAATATTAATAATAATAGGTGGGAAATGTATCTATCTCCAAGAGACATCCAGGTACCCTAATATTTTAATAAACAACACTCATGAAGGTTCTTATTTGAGCTAACAAATCCTTCACAATAAATAGGTTCCCAGTTAATGATTTTGCTAGTAGTTTCTTTCTTTCCTAAATATGACACATACTATTAAGAACACATATTGGGAGGATGGTTGAGCAATATTAATCTGTCCATTAAGAAGTCCTCAGAAACGTTGGCTTCATCCTACAGTCACTTATGACCATGACCCCTCCAAATTACAGTTCAGATTTAACACAGCAGAGTCATGCTGCTGCCCAGAGGTGCCCAGAGCATGAGCAAACCTCTGAATGCTGAGCTACTTACAGCGAAAGGGTGGTAGGGGGGAGCGGGGGGTGCTCCTCGGGGCCCTGCTGGAGGAGGCAGCACGGACAGTCCTGTTGAAAAGATGCCAAGTGCGCTGAGGTTCAACCCTGGGATCAGATTGGCTTGTTGCTGGGGAGAAATGGAGAAAAAGATGAGGGGAGGGGAGCAGAGAGCCCCAGCTTGCCTGGGTCAACCTCCCTCTCTTGTCTGGATGGCACCAGTGTCTCCTAATGTTCTCTGCCCTGGCCCTGTGGAACTCTTCTCCGCCCTGGTGCCAGGACGGGCTCTGCAAATCTTAACCTGACCGTGGAGTTCCTTCAAAGCTTCCCTGCCACCCTTGGGAGTATCTACACATCGTAACCCAGCAAACGAGGCTCTTCCTGGGGATGGCCACCTCACCAGCCTCCCTTCTGCTAAATCCTCATCTCCATCCTGCCCATTCCTGCTCCCCTCTCACCTCTAGGCCGCTGCACACTTTGTTCACCTTGAAAGCAACGTGCTTCTCTCCCTCCTCACCTGGCTATATCCTACTCATCACATGGGTTTCACCTGAGCTTAGGTGTCCCCTCATCCAAGAAGCCTTCTCTTACCACAAAGGTCTCAGCTCAAATGCCCTTTCTTTGCCCTTCTAACATTCCTATGTTTCCTTAGAACAGCACTCATCACATGGTATGTGGATCACCTGTGTAGTTACCACGTCCCCTTTCAGACCATCATTTCCTTGTGGACAGAGACCGTCTTACTTAGTGTCATGTGCTCAGTGCCTGGTACATAGTAAGTACTCAATAAGTATTTGTTGAATGGCTAATGTTTAAAATACATTGGATGAATGGTGTTTTTTTGTTTTTTTAACTCTATCCAGGGAAAGAGCAAACCTTTCACTAGGACACCACATATATAAAGTCCATTATCTAGATTCAGAATGGTTCACAACTTTGGCTTTCTCACCATTTAGTTGCCAGCTTCGTGACCATCTCACTTGTTTATTTCACATTTAAACATTGGGAGACTCACATAGGCTACAGTTGAGTTTTAACTACACAGCCCTTCAAAGGCACAGAGAGGTAGTCACTCACCCTCGCCTGCGTCCACCTGCTCCTCTCTAAACACTAAACAGTTCTCTAGCATTTTCTATTTTCTTATCTGTGGCTAGGGTCACCTAGCAAGCTCTCCTTTGTTTAGCATGTTTGGAGCAGCAGAGTTGGGATCCTTAGCTTTTTACTCCAGTTGATATATATAACATCTAGTAGTTTTGTTATCCATCTGTCAATGCATGACTTTGGTACAGGAATGAATGAATCTAAGTGATATGCTCAGATGAAAATATCTGGAGCGTCTGTACCTGGTGTAGCTTTTCTGTGTGTTCACAGAAAGAAGTGTTTATCATAAGATTTCAAGAGCACACACACACACAAAATAGCTCACTGGATGACCCTTCCACAGACAAATATACACAAACAGGGAGAGGATACACTGGCATCTTCTCATCACGTCCCATCATTATCATATGGTGTGGGCTGCTAAGGTGGGAGAGAGAGTACTGACCTAAGAGGGTACTGTGGAAAGTGCTGCAGTAAGGGAACTGGGTTTAATTTACATTAGCTCTTTGTCAGCATGTATTTCTCTATGAAATGTTACCAGGTCTGGAATTTGCTTCAATGTCATTCAAGGGGCGATGGATGAAGGTTCAGATGAAACAAAACAGTCCATGAGTTGATAACTGTTGAGACTGGATCATGGGACTATGAAGGCTTATCACAGTATCCTTTACTCTTTTGTATATGTTATAAATATAGAAATATCATAGAAAATAAAAAAAATTACTGCTCTCAGCTAAGCGTGGGCTTTGCCAATGAACAAATAGTTTTAAGATGCCAGACTGGTGTCGCCCCATTATGGGGACTAGGTAGCAACATCAGGAAGGATCAACCCAAATCACTCTATTAGAAGTATTAGAGCTGAGGTGATTGACATTATTTATTGGGCAATCTAAAAGAGCAGATCAGTAAACAAGAAATGAAAATCAGAAGTTAATTTTCAAGTACGCATTTTTTAAAACTGGAAAGTGAAAAAAAAAATCCCACTTTCCTAACATACCATATTTTTATTTTTATATGTAAACTTCTAGTCATTTTGGTCCATATTGTTTTACATAACAGTAACCCTAGTTACATACAGTTTCATATATTCTTTACTTAATTAACATATCATAGGCAATTGCTCATTTTAAAATCTTCAAAGTTGTGATTTTAATGGTTTCACATTATTTTGTCCAGTGCATTCACCATAATTTACTAGTTGGTCTCCTGATTATTTTAATGCCCTTGCCCCAAGAAGGCAGGAATAATGCTGCATACCTATTCTAAGGGGCTTCTTCACTATCTGAATGGTAATTATTCTTACAGAGGCTTGGGTCCTGCCTAAAAACACATGTGAAAACCAGCAGAAGAAAGCATTAGGCACTTACATTAACAGCCAGCATATCGTTTTCAAAGGCCTCACGTAGCTTCTTCATAATTTCTATCTCAGCATGGGCACAGGCCTCGACTGTGCCCTTCACAGTGATGGTTCTTTCGGGGTTGTATATGCTCAAATCCTGCAAGCTGGCCACCGGGAAAAAGAAAGAAATTTCCTTTTTTTCCAAAAGGAAAAATAAATCCCAGAGGATCACAAACAAGTCTTGTTGGAGGAGGCAGGGAGAAGACTGGATTTCCTTACCACACACCGTGGTACAGAATACCTGCCACCTTAACTCAAATCTTTGTAGTGACTTAGATCATATCCGTAGTAAAAAAAAATGTTTCACTGGTAACTATTTATGTATTTGTTTTGACAGCTTTGGAGATAATTATATCACTTAAGATTATATTCCCATTTTAGGAAAACCAGATGAATAAGTTGGACATATCAAAATGCTCAAATTCTCCATTATTGGGCACAATTTATTGAATGAGTGGCTTACGATGAAATTGTTATCTTGGTCCCTGTCTCGTGTTCAATTTTCTTCAAATTTCTGCCTTCTTTTCCAATAAGTCTTCCAACCAAGCCATTGTGGGCCAAGATTTTCAGAGGAATCTCCTCAGCTCTAAAAGAGACAATCAACAATTTAACATTTAAGGTGGACACAGTGGTTGCCTTCCAAGAGCTATTACCCTATTTTTCTCTTACAAACAGAAGCTGTTTTGTTCAGGTATCAGGTGGCCATGAGCTTTAGAAGCTAAGTCCCCCACTAACTCCAGTATGTGAATTCTCATTAACGTAAGCCAAACCATCATAATTATACTCCCTTGTTGTGACTGGCTGGAAGTAAGTCCATGAGACAGATCTGGTCAATGAGGTATAAGGAGAAGTCTGTTGGGTGACTTTAGGAAGGTTTTCCTTGCTCTTGAAAAAGCACAACGGATAATGACATTAGTCAGATGGCAGACTACAAAGCTTTAGGCCCTCCTACTCCCACAGAGACACCAAGTTAACAACAAGAGACAGGTCAGAACACCTCTGTCAGAACTCTAAAGATCAGCTGAGAAGCTACAGCACCTAGGCTATTATAAAACCAAGAAGAGATTCCAGCAAAAGAGGAAGAAAAATTACAATATTTGGAGTGCCTATTCATGCTCCTTCACCTACACAACACAGCAAGGGGCAGCTGAGAAGCAATCCTCCATATCAGGGCTCTGCCCTCTAAAACAAATAAAAGACTAGACCATGAGTCCAACACTCTGGCTAATCTGGGTGATGCCTGAGGAATTGGTTGATGTCTTGCCTGACTTGGAGTGCTCATGAGACTTGTAGTCGAGTTTGGAAGTTGCTGAAAACAGGTAAACAGTAATTACAGCTGCAGTTCCACAGTCAGAAGCCAGAGGGAGAAATAGATCAAAAACATTTGAGAGGTCTAGAACCTCCATCCAGGCTAATTAGTGAAAGTCTCCTCCTGAATGAAACTAATATGTAAAAACTGTGAAAGGTGGTTGTTTTTTCAAATGCACAAATCCTATTAAAAAAAAAAAAGCAAGCCATACAAAGAAACAGGGAAACAAGAGATAAAAATAAAGCTCCAAAAACTGACCTTAAAGAAATGTAGGTCTATAAGCAAAGAATTTAAAATAACTGTCATAAAGATGCTCAATGACCTAAAAGAGAACACAGGCAACTAAATAAAATCGCAAAAATGATGCATGAACAAAATGAGAATATCAATAAAGAGATATAAACTATAAAAAACAACCTAACAGGAATAACAAAACTGAAAAATACAATGACTGAACTGAAAAAAACCTTATTTAAAAGGTTTAACAACAGACATGAACAGGCAGAAGGAAGAATCAGCAAGCTCGAAGACTAGTCATTTGAAATCATCAAGTCAGAGCAGGAAAATGAATGATGAAAAAAAGAAAGAGAGGCTGAGGGATTTATGGGACACTATCAAGTAGGTCAATATATATATATATATATCATGGGACTCCATAGAGAGAAGTGAGAGAAAGGGCAGAGAGCTTATCTGAAGAAATAATTAAGGAAAAGTTTCCAAATCTGAGGAAAGAAATGGACATACAGATTCAAGAAGCTTAAAAACTTCCAACTAGGATAAGTCAAAGAGAATGATACTGAGACACATTATAACCCAAAGTGTCTAAAATCAAAGGCAAGGAGAATCTTGAAAGCAGCAAGAGAAAAGTGATTAGTAACATACCCAGGAGTTTCCATAAGATTATCGGTGGATTTCTCAGCAGAAATTTGCAGGCCAGAAGGGAGTGAGATGATATATTCAAACTGCTGAAAGAAAAAACTGTCAACCAGGAATACTGTATCTGGAAAAGCTGTCCTTTGAAAATGAAGGAGAAATTAAGACTTTCCAGATAAACAAAAGCTGAGGGAGTTCATTACTATTAGACCTGCTCTACAAGAAATGCTAAAGCAAATTCTTTAAGTTGAAATGAAAGGACAGCAGACAGAAACACAAAGCCATTAGAAAATATGATTCTCTAATAAAAATAAATACACAAATACAATAACCTGCACTATAGTAACTTTGATGCAAAATTTAAATGACAAAAACAATAATGATAAATCTATACTAATAGGTATATGATACATAAAGAATAATTTGTGACATCATAATAAAGTGGAGGGTGGAATTGCAAAGTTTTGAATGAAATTAAAGTTAAGTTTTTATCAGTTTAAAATAGAATGCTATAATTTTAAGATGTCTATGTAATTGCAATAGTAACCACAAAAAAAATCCACAGAATATACACAAAATGAAATGAAAGGGAATCAAAGCATATCACTAAGAACAACCAAAACTCCACAAAGGAAGGCAGTAAGAGAGAAAAGGAGAGACAATAAAGCAACAAGACATATAGAAAACAAATGAACAAAATGGCAATTTAAGTCCTTCCCTATTAGTATTTACTTTAAATGTTAAGGGATTAAACTCCCCAATCAAAAGACATAGTTTGGCTGAATGGATTAAAAAAAAACCAAAATGGAAAAGCTCAAGTCAACAACTTTACACCTGAAGAAATTAGAAAAAGAATAAACTAAACCCAAAGTTAGCATAAGGAAATAAATAATAAAGATTAGAGCAGATATGAGTAAAATAGAGAATAGAAAAATGAAAGAAAATTAATGAAACTAAGAGTTGTTTAACGATCAACAAAATTGACAACTCTTAGCTAGAATAAGAAAAAAGAGAACACACAAGTATATAAAATCAGAAATGAAAGAGGAGATATTACAACTGATACCACATAAAAATGATTATAGGAGATACTATAAACAGTTATACACCAACAAATTGAATAACCTAGAAGAAATGTATAAATTCCTAGAAAAAACAAAAACTACCAAGACTGAAATATGAATAGGATATCTGAACAGACCAACCAGAAGTATGGAGATTGAGTAAGTACTCAAAAACCTCCCAACAAAAAAAAAGCCCAGGACCAGATGGTTTCCCTGAAGAATTCTACCAAACATTTGAAAAAGAATTAATAGCAATCCTTCTCCAACTCTTCCGAAAAATGGAAGCAAACACTTCCAAGCTCACTCTATGAGTGAGCTAGCTTTACTCTAATACCAAAGCCGAACAAAGACACCTCAAGAAAAAAAGAAACAAAAAACTAATGATCAACATCTTTTACGAGAATACTTATGCAAAGATCCTCAACAAAATACTAGCAAACTGAATTTGAAAGCACATAAAAAGGAGTATATACTATGACCCAGTGTGATGTATTCCTGGAATGCAAGGATGGTTTAACATATGAAAATCAATCAATGCAATATACCCCATTAACAAAAAGGGGGACAAAACCCACATGAGTGCCTCATTTGACAGAGAAAAAGCATTTGACAAAATTTAACATCTTTTCATGATAAAAACTCTCAACAATCTAGGAATAGAGGGAAAAACTACCTTAACATAATAGATGCCATTTGTGGAAAGCCCACAGTGAACATGATATTCAATGGTCAAAGACTAAAAGCTTTTCCTTTAACATCAGGAACAAGACAAGGATGCCGCTCTCACCACTTCTATTCAACATAGTAGTGGAAGTTCTAGCCAGAGCAATTAATTAAGGAAAAGAAATAAAAGGCATCTAAATTGGAAATAAATAAATAAAATTATCTCTATTCACAGATGACATAATCTTATATGTAAAAACCCCTAAAGATTCCACAAAACAATTGTGAGAATAAACTAATTCAACATCATGGGATACACAACCAACACACAAAAATCAGTTGTTTCTATACACTAAAAATGAACAATCTGAAAAGAAAATTAAACAAATAATTCCATTTATAAAGAATAAAATATTTAGGAATAAGCCTAACCAAAGAAGTAAAAACTTGTACACTGGAAACTGCAAAACATTGCTGAAAGAAATTAAAAACAACAGAAATCAATGAAAAGACATCCTACTGTACATTCATAGGCTGGAATACTTGTTTAGATGTCCATACTACCCAAAGTGATCTCTGGATGCAATGCAATCTCTGTCAAAATGCCAATGGCAATTTTTGCGGAAATAAAAAAATTCATTCTAAAATGTGTATGGAATCTCAAGGGACCCTGAATAGTCAAAACTATTTTGAAAAAGAACAAAGTTGGAGGACTCACATTTCCTGATTTCAAAACAAGTATTTCAAAACAAAGCTACAGTAATCAAAACAGTATGGTACTGGCATTGAGACAGATGAACAAACCAACGGAACAGAATAGCAATCTCAGAAATAAACCATTACATATATGGTCATATAATCTTTGACAAGAGTGTCAATGCTACATAACTGGAAAGGACAATCTCTGTAACAAATAATGCTGGGAAAACTGGATATTCATATGCAAAACAATGAGGCTAGATCCTTATCTTACTCCATATACAAAAAATAACTCAAAATGGATTAAAGACTTAACTGTAAAACTTAACACTATAATATTCCTAGAAGAAAATACAGGGAAAAAGTTTCATAACATTGGACTTTGCAATGGTTTCTTGCATATGACACCAAAGCATAGACAACAAAAGCAAAAATCAACAAACTTTTACGCATCAAAGGACACAATCAACAGAGTGAAAAGACAGTCTATAGAATGGAAGTAAATATTTGCAAATCATATATCGGATAAGGGATTAATATCCAGAATATGCTCATATAAATAACTCCTACAACTCAACAATAAAAAAATCAAATAACCTGTTTAAAAAATGTGCAAAGGACTTGAATAGACATTTCTCCAAAGATGATACACAAATGCCAACAAGCATAAAAAAGATGCTCAACATCACTAATCATCAGAGAAATGCAAATAAAAACCACAATGAGATATTGTGAATACCAACGACTGCCTCACACCCATTAGTCTGACTACTATCAAAATAAAAGAAAATAACAAATGTTGGTGAGTATGTGGAGAAACTGGAGCCTCTGTGGACTGTTGGTAGGACTCTAAAATGATGCAACTGCTTTGGATAATAGTATGGAGGTTCCTCAAAAAATTGAAAACAGAACTGCCATATGATCCAGCAATCTTAGTTCTGGTTATATATCCAAAAAAACTAGAAGCAGGGTCTGAAAGAGGTATTTGCACACCCATGTTTATAACAGCACTATTCACAATAGCCAAGAGGGGAAAGAAAACCCAAATTCAAAACCAAAATGTGGTATATACAAATATTCAGCCTTAAAACGAAAGGAAATCCCATCACATGCCACAACATGGATGAATCTTCAGGACACTGTGTTAAGTGAAATAAGCCAGTCACAAAAAGAAAGACTGTATGATTCCACTTAGATCTGAGTTCTCTAAAGTAGTCAACTTCATAGAAACAGAAAGTAGTAGTTACCAGAGGTTGGAGGGAGAGGGAAAGGGGAAGTTGTTGTTTAATGGGTCTAGTTTCAGTTTTGTAACATGGAAAAAGTTCTGGAGACCTGTTTTGTAACAATGTGAATATACTTACTACTGACCTGTACACATAAAAATGGTTAAGATGGTAAATTTTATGTTGTTTTTTTTTTTACCACAATAACATAAAACAAACAAACAAACAACGAAACAAGGAAAGGATGCCTTCTCTTTCAATTTTTGAATATTCTGTGGGGACATAAAGTCAGAAATCACTCCTGTCATCACCAGGGGAATATGAGACACCCTAAAGAAGGTAAAGCAGAAAGAAAAGTCATGAGTCTCTGAGTTCGTGATTCAACTGAACTTGGAGTCACTCTACCTTGGGACTTCTTGTTATGTCACAAAATAATTGTTTCTTATTGCTTCGGCCAGTTGTTATCAATGTTTTCTGTTATTGAAATCAAAAGCATCTAACAGATGCATTATTACTGCCTCAAAATAAACAGACAGTTGAAGAAGCTCCAATAGAACATAACTTTCGGAGGGCAGGGTTTTGGTGTATTTTTGGTCAGCTTTGTTCACTGACACATAAAAAGGTGCCTGGCACATAGCAGGTGCTCAATAAATATTTGGTAAATAAATAAAAAGGAAGTTTAGTATCCCTCTTCTCCTACATCCTCTGCCTCCTATTCACTCCCTTCAGGGCTCAGCTTAAATGTCATGTATTCAAGGATGCCTTCTCCAAAATGCCCAAATCTCCTCCTGTCTCCTATTAAAGCCTTAATTATTGTCTCCAATAATATGCAGTCGTTTTCCACGTAGCGCTTTTCATAGCTGTGCTTCATTATGTACTGGTGTTTAGTGAACATCTCTCCCACTGGGTTATAAGCTCCATGAAAGCAGGAACTGGGTCTTCTTCATGAATGTAGCCTCAACACCCCTCCTCCCCTCCCACCCCCAGCACAGTGCTTAACACAGTGTGGCACTGAAAAACAAATAAAAAAATAAAATGTAGGGGCAGCTGGGTGGCTCAGTTGGTTAGAGCATGTGCTCTCAACTACAAGGATGCGGTTCAACTCCCACATGGGATGGTGGGCTATGCCCCCCACAACTAGATTGAAAAATGGTGACTTGAGCTGAGCTACCAGACTGAAAAAGGCAACTTCACTTACAGCTAAGCTGCAACCTCCACAACTAAGATTGAAGGACAACTTGACTTGGAGCTGATGAGTCCTGGAAAAAACACATTGTTCACCAATACAGTAAAAAAAAAAGAAAAAAAAAAAAAAGAATGTTTTGCCATATACATATATATTAAGATATTTAAACTCTATCTTGGGGCTGGCCGAGTGGCGCGTTGGTTAAGAGCTGGCTTGGGAGCTGGCTTGGGACGCCAGCTCTGAGCAGCAGGGCCCCGGTTCAGATCCCACATGAGGGCCAGTGACACTGCCCTCTACAGCTAAGATGGTGAACAACAGCTCAACCTGGAGCTGGGATGCCGTAGGATGCAGCCCCTGCTGCAGTGGGCTGCCATAAACTACTGTGTGTGGCTGGCAGTCAGCATGAGCAGCTGGCAGCCGCTGTGAGCTGCCAAGAGCCACCGTGAGTGGCTGTCCAGAGACCAGCGACCCATCTGCCTCACCCAGGAAGAGCACAATGATAATACCAACATGGGCCAGTGAAGCAACGTCCTCCACAACTAGACTGAAGAACAAAAACAACAGCAACTTGTCTGTTCCCCTTCCCCCAATTCCCCAATAAAATCTTTTATTTTATTTATTTATTTTTTTTTAAAGATTTTTATTGGGGAATTGGGGGGATGGGAACAGTGTTGGGGAGTTGGGGGAAGGGGAACAGACAAATCACTGTCATTTTGTTCTTCAGTCTAGTTGTGGAGGACGTTGCTTCACTGGCCCAAGTTGGCACCATCATTGCGCTCTTCCCGGGCAAGGCACATCAGTCACCGGCTTCTGGACGGCCGCTCACTGCGGCCCCCAATAAAATCTTTTAAAAAATAAATAAATAAAATTAAAAAAACAACAACTCTATCTTGGCTTTACACAAAAACTTAAAAATCTTATAAATCAGTCTTTTTGATTATTTAGAATATTATAAGTTGCTTGCACCCAGGTTAAAGGACCAAAAAGGGTTTATAAATAACATGGAGGAAGGAGGAGCTTCTTCAAATTAAGCCATGGCATTTGGGGGATGGGAGCGGCGGGGGGGAGGGGGGGAGAGTGAGGCGGAACGCAAACGCCCCAGTGTAAATAATTCATAAGAGAAGGGTTAGAGTCTCTTATAAAATCTCAAAATAGATTTGTAATGTTTTTCTTTTAAGGACTAAGACTTCGATCTTTTTGGTTTTGGAACACTGTTATCTAACATTATTTGCTAAATTAACTTTATATTTGATTTACCCCTCAGTGGTTTTCTATGAAACTGCTACCAATGCCCCAAGTGGATTTTGCCAAACTGACATAAACCTTTTTTTATTAATCTAATCCATTATCATTAATTCATTTGCAATGCAAAGTTAATTGGTTTAGTAAGAACTATATTTGCCCTTTAAATTGTTACAACACTCAGGAATCCCAAGCTGTATTTTGTAAAAGAAAAGGAAGTAGGGGAGAGAGGAGAAAAAAGTAGAAGAAGAATAAAGTAGCCACTTGGATACCAGTTTCTACTACTTAAGGAAATGTAATCCAATTTTAACACAGTGCAAATGGTGTAGTAGGAGCAGGTGGCAAAAACCCTTTCCAGAGTAGTCAATGACAGTTTTGATGACAATGTGCATTTTATACCTACACTGTCCAATGTGATAGCCATTAGCATATGTGTGACTATTCAAATTTGAATAAATTAAAATACTCAGTGCCTTCATTGCACTAGTCACATTTCAAGCACTCACTAGCAATACGTGGTAAGTGGCTATCGTACTGAACAATGCAGATACAGAACACTTCCTTGCATGGCATTGGACAGAACAGGTCTGTATCTTCCTACCAATAATTATTATATTACCAGTGAGTGATGGAAGCATTAGAGCTTTTAAAATTTCTCTTGGGTTATATGAATAAGGAACCCACTCTTATTCTCTGTTGAGTGACCCGGACGTTGCATGCAAACTTACAGTTTGGTCTCATCAGCCTCTTTCTGCATTATTTCAAGAATCATGCGGCATGCTTCAGAGGTGCCCTCCGGGGTGGCGTGGATGGTGACGGGCTTCTCTGCGGCCCCAGAATTTTCCTTTCTATGGATGTCTACCCTGTAGGCAAAGAATCAGGAGCAATAACAAAGTGTCATCCGGAACAGGATCCCAATTAGTCCCAAGAAAGCATCGCACCAGCCAACATACAGCAAGGGCACACACGAGGAAGTGTCATTAGCACGTCTGCAAACAGTGCCATACTCCAAGAAGGCGGCAAGCAGTACAGGGCGTGTCTTGTGCCAAACCTGAATTCTTTGCAGCTCCATTTAGAAGAGAACATTTCTTGCAGGCATGCTGTGGGACAGAGGCACCAAGCCAACTTGGTAATGAAGCCAGTTTGGTAAGTGAAGTATTCTGTAATCTCTCAAATGATCATAGACAGGAAGAGTAAAGTGAGCAGGATAATACTGCACCCTGGCACAGTGCCAGTCTCTGCACTGATTGCAGCTTTTAAAAGCCAAATGTTAATCCAAATCTAAACACCAAATTTAAGCAAGCTTTATAAATTGGAATGTGGATAGGAAACAGAGGCATGCACTTTTCTCTGCCTACGTTTTGGTTTCCTTGCCACTGGCAGCCTGCCTTCTTCCAGGCTGTTAAAAGTAATGGCTCCAAAACTTGATGACTTTATCAGACTTCCTTGGGTAGTTGTGGCCCTACTTGTTTTTGTTAACTTTCAAAATCACATAATTGATTGTATCCCTCTTTACTTTGGCTGTTAGAAAGCCCAGATCCAAGTCTTTGGTCTACTTTTAAAAAACGGGCACACACTTTGAGCATTAACCTCACTTCTATTTAAACTTGTTACATTTTTAAAGCCACTTTAAACAATTATTGGAACAAAAAGACATATAAATAAAAATAACTTTCACAGTGAAGCAAACTTGGAGGGGCGGGAAGGCTGATTTTAAAATAAAAGGATCACCAGGCAGTATTTCCCCTTTCTACTGGCGCTGCTAAGGAGAGTTACTCCTATGATTATGAACTCTGGGACTCAAAAAGTGCCCGTTATTTGGAAGTAACTCAGATACCTTAAGGAAAACAGTGTTTTCTCTTTCACAGCACGAGCCACTCAATATATGGCCTGAATAAAATGAACTAGTGAGGTAAGTAACTAATATTTTTCAGTAATTTGGTGCTTTGCAATTTAAGTGCTTTCACAGTAATTATTACATTCAATCTGTCAGACTATCCTATTTCTCACAATGACCCTGGCTTATAGAAGAAGCAATTGATGCTCAGAGATGCTAAAATTTTTTTCCAAGATCATATGACCAGTAAGTGGTAACACTTGGAACATGGGTCCGTATTTTCAAGTCCTGTGCTTGCTTTATTACATCATGCGGTGGTCTTCTGAACTACACAAAAATCAACAACCCCACAAGCCATTTTACCTATTACAACTCCTACTACCAGTGCAGTCTCCTCAAACAGACAGAAAACTAAATAGAAGGCCATTACTTCTTGCTCAATATAGCAGTGACTCACCCACTCCCTTTATGTAGCTATTTGTGAGATTACTTAGGTGGTCTCAAAAAATGACCACCACCCCACGCTTTGACTCAGGAGAGGGGTTAAAAGCTAAAGTAGGTGGGTTCTAGGGTCCCACAAAGTTCAGCCCCATACCTCTGCTGTTTTAGAAATAGATGCATTCACACGCATTCATTAGCTTCTAAGAACAGTGCTTGGCTGTGAGGTCATTACTACCTTCTTCACGGACCTTTAGTGTTTCAGGATATGACCTTTAGGCACCTGGCATGAAAGCTCATTAAGGCCCGGGTTTTCTGTTAGTCTGTTAATTGTTCTGTTTAAAGAAGCCACCATCCCATACAGCACACTGTCACCCACTGCTGATGCAAGCAAAAGCAACTGGAGGATGGCTGGGGTGCACCAGCACTCGGGGCACCCCTCAGAAGGAAGCCAAGGCAAGCCCCGGAGGCACGTACCGGGACTGGGTCTGCTTAGTGATGTTCTTTATGGTCAAGCCCTCCTTTCCGATGATGGCACCAACAAACTGGGTGGGGACCAGGATCCGCAGCGGGAAATCAATCTGTCTGGCCTGAGAAGAGCCCCCAGGGGCGTGGCCTTGCTCCCGGGAAGAGTGGTCCCCACGCTGGGCTCGCTGAGGGGGCGAAGGGGAGCTCACCTCTTCATCGGGGATGTAGGAAATCTTGAAGGAGTAGTTCTCAAATTGATGCCCGCTTAGCTTCTCGATAGCTCTGAAATGCAGCAGGAACAGGCGAGCTTTGTTAGAAAGCAACGTTAGAGGAGACACTCCAGTGGGCTGGTTCCTTCACTTGCATTTACTATGTAAGTGCCATTAGTCCTGAGGATACAGCAGTGAGCGTGACAGACGCTCTCTCTGCTCCCTCAGACCTCGTGGCTAACAAACAGTAATCACAAAAGTATAGGCCGGGTCAGTCTTGATATACAATTACACATTCTGTTTTTTTTCCGCCACCCAGACCTGTAGTCCCCTTATCAAAGACTCTGTTAATAACAGTATAAAATTATGACTTTTAAAAAATCATTCCAATAATAATACATATATATTATTGAAAATTCAGAAATAGATAAGCACAAATAAGAAAAAGTTCTCATTCATCCTATATATTTATTTTTCTTAAATATAAATATTTATAAAAATAAATATCATACATACTCTTTTCCTAATCTTTAAAAAAATCATTAATATTCCAAACATTCTCCAAATCATTAAATACCCTGCAATTTAATTTTCACTGGCCACTTAACATTCTACTGGTTTGTCACAGTTTTTGCAATGATCCTCTATTGTTAGATGTTCATAATGTCCAATCTTTGACCTTTATATACAGTGTTGCCCTAGGCACCTTTGCAACCACAGCTTTGCACACAGGATCAATTCCTAGTGGAGGTGCTGGGTCAGAGAGTATGCAGAATTCTAACATTATTAAGTATTACCCAATTAAGTAAGTACTTCTGGAAATGTTTCAACATTATCCCAAAGCAGTTAAAACACCAGTTATTTCCTTAAACCCTCAAAAGCACAGAGTATTATTACCTAAAAATATTTATTTGATATGAAATAAATGATATCCCACCAGTACATTTTTAAAATTATACATGAAATGGAACAATTTTTTTACATGTTTCTGGCAGTACGTGAAAACAATAACCCTATACGAGGTTAATCTTTAGGGTTTGTGAATTTATTACAAAGCCGTGCCTTTCAATTCAATAAAAGCAACAAAGCAATGTGCACAGAGGTTCTACCTAAGTGGCAGCCGGACAAGAACTGTAAAGGTGAGTTGTTAGTATATATCCTGCTTATATATGTGTGTAAAAATCAGTAGCAAATGAACTACTGCCTTCTTTCAATGGAAAAGTAACTTCCTGAAAACTCAATATGAGAATGGGTTAAATATTATCTGCGTGTGTGTTGAAACCTTGAAGAAGAAATAAAACTATAATCCTGGATGTTTACCTAAGGTTATGCCACATCCATGAAGCATGACAACATGTGACCACATCCTCATTAAACGATGACCTGACAGGCACTTCAAGGACCTCCTATAAAAAGGAACTTGCTTTTTAAAAACCTCAATCCCATGTCCGTTAATAGTCAAGCTCACAATTAACCATCACTGAAGCAATGGAGTCATGAATGGGGACTAGAAGTGAAGGGGACAGGAAAAAGTACCCAAGCCAGGTGCTCCTTGATTAACCACTACCCGACAGTTCTTGCCGCTGATATCACTGAGGTGGACCCACTTTAATATTACAGCGAGGAAAAGTTTATGTCTTAGTATCCATTCCATTAGTGTAGACAGAAATAGGCCTGTGCATCTTCCTCTCGGTGCATGGAGGAAACTCCAGGTAAAAGTAGCTCCCAGTGGTCGGCAAAGCAGAGTTCAGGCGACACTGTGTCACAGAGCTGGTGCTCTCTATTCCTGACCATGTCAAGACTCAGCTCCCACCCCAGTTTTGATACCACAGCTCACCATTACTCAAGACAAAATCTCCGTACAGTGAGCAAACAGACATCCTGGTATAAATGCCTAGGAGTTCCACTAACATGTCAAAGATCTGCATCTTTTCAGAAAAGGTGTTGTAAACACAGGACTCAGTGGAATTCAAAGACAACCCTCCAAAAAAAAAAAACAACAACAACAAGTCCAAATCTACTTACGTTTTTGCTTCTTCTCTTGTTGCATATGTGACATTGACAACAGCAGTTTCTGTGTCTGTGTTGACTAGGAAAGAGGCAAAAACTACATTGTCATAGGAAAAAAAGCTGTCATCCTCTGGCTCAATGTAAACAGACTTACTTTAGAGAAAAGTGCAAAAAAAAATTCATTACCTTGCCTCGAGAATTATTTGAATCTCTAACTTTCTTTGTGTGTATTCATTGTAATTTGTAATCAATTGTGTGTGTGTGTGTGTGTGTGTACATTTTGTAATCAATTGTACATAAAACTCAAAAGCTATATTTTCACTTATTTTATAAACACTTTTGCCTGTGTGTATGTATATGTACAGTTTTTGGTATATTTTACTTTTAATGCCTACATAAAATTGCAATAAGTAAATGTGCTATGATTTTTCCTAACTGTTCCCAATTATTGACAAATACGGTGTTCCCAGTATTTCCTATTCTAATGTTGCTAAAAACTATCTTTGTTGCAAACATCATTTAATTTGTGTTCCTCTGAATTACTTTTGGCTAATCACAGAAGAAAATAAATGGGTAAAAAAAACCCCACAATGCTTTTAATGCATATTTTCAGATTACCTTCTTAGAAGTTTGTATTAATTTATTGTACCACTATCAAGGTATGTTTTAATTGTTCTAATTTGCATTTAGTTTTAAATAATTGGATATATGTATAAAATAATAAGAATTTTTCAACTCTTCCCTCATTGATAAGGTTGAATTATTACTATTTGTTTCCCTTTGACTGAACTCCTTGACTGTTTCTTTGAGTTAAACCTAGTACCTGTGTACAATAAATAAATACAGCTGACAGTGCCAACGCACTTGGCTAACAGAGAGAACACAAAAATTCTAAGAGTGGCTAATAAGAAATCACTCTTGCGAGCTGGCTTATCTTGGTTCATAATTGCTTGCCTCTTCTTCCAAAATCAGAAGTTAAAAATAAATTCACAAGGCAAGATAAAACTTTCTCAATCCAAGCCAGTAAAAAGCAAAAAATACTGGTTTTCCCCAAACAGGTAGACATGATGAAATCAAATCATCCCTTTAAAACATCGAAGCTATTGGGAGACTTGGAGTTAACAACAACATTAAGGATGATTCCAGAAAACCACAACAAAGCTGCTTCTCAAAGTAATAATAAAACCCTATAGCGTAGGGATTCTCCCATCCAAGTACTAACCAGGCCCAACCCTGCTTAGCTTCCAAGATCAGACGAGATCGGGCGCTAGTGTAGGGATTCTTTTTTTTTTTTAATTATTTTTTTATTATGAAATACACATTTTTTAGAATTAGTTTCAGCTGTACAACACAGTGCAATTGTTATACTTTTTACCCCTCAAAGTGACAACCCCCCTCCCCCAATCCGCTGCCCCATTTCCCCCCAATATCATACGTATCTATTACAAATCCCTTGACTCCACTCCCACACTATAGCGTAGGGATTCTTAATCGTGGATCAATCTAGAGCTTCAGGAAAGTCTATAAACTGACTCTTCCTATCCTACCCAAAGATTCAAATCTGTGGATATATGAATTTTTCTGGTTTATAATATGCATAAGATTCTCAAAAGGGTGAAAGACCAGTGTTAAAAATATTGTTTATCCAATAACTTCAAAGTGGCCGCAGCCTTTGTGGGGAGGGAATGTGTAATCTTCAGGATGGAACTGTGACAGAGATGTATGTGTCATAAAGGTGAGTCCAGCCCTGGCCTTTGCCCGGGGAGTGTTCCAACTGCTCTCTAATTCACACTTACCCAGAGAAGTCTTCACAGTGTAAAACAGGGGGTGTGCAGCCCATAACCGTCCTTTCTCAGTGCTGACATACAGAATGTTAGAAGTTTCCTATTTGCTGCTTTCTAGTGCTACAAATGAGGCTGCAGTCTCCCAGAGAGGGAGAAAGGGCTGGGTCTGACCCTCCTGAACAAAACTATCCACTAGGACTCTCAGATTTCTCTGGTTTTGTTCTCACTTCTTGGTCATACTCTCTGTTCTTCAAAGATGTTTGTCTTCAGGAAATTGGACAGTTGTTTGATTCTGGAAAGAACTGAGCTCCATTCAAATAATTTATTTCATTGGACATGAAAGCTCTATAAAGCTTCTTAAAACTACTGGAAATGCTTTCCTGCTGAGACAGGAATCACCTATGAAATAGAACAAAAGCTCAACACTTCTATCCTGTAGTTGTGAGGCCGCTGAAAACTGCATGCTGTCCAGGGCACAGGTACCCTAGACGCTGTGAAGTGCCCCAGGGACCTGAAATGTTTCCTCCTTGCATGACCTTGTCCTGAATTTATAATATGGTCTCAGCCAGTAACTTTTATAGGTTCATGTCTGTAAGGCCATCTTGCCTCCTATATCCAATCCTTATTAAAATGTCTTCTTTTCCATGATGAAGGAAAGAACAAGAACTGAGAAATAGAATCCCTGTAAATCATGTCTTCTTTCTGATCTCTTTCCCTTCACTTTTGGGCATGGGCAATCAGCAGCATGAAATTGAATAATGATATTTTTAATATTCATGGAGTGGAGAACATCTGAATAATCACTATGTTAAAACTATTATATTAATTATACTGGCAAATAGAACAGATTCTCTATGAGAAAATAGGTTTTCTGTGATTTTTCCTAAGTGAACCTTTATAATCCCTTGAGATTATGTACGACTCCATTGTCTACAAATACCTTACACAGAATTTTCTTTGGGTGCCAACTATTCAGTGATACAGGAAGGGTGGAAATTATTCTCCCTTTTTTACACATGTGGAGACTGAATCAGTGAGGCTAAGTGACATTTCCAAGGGCTCATGGTCAATAAGTGACTTAATTCACATTCTGCTTTTAAAGTCAACACAAAATTAATTTTTATTACATGTTACTTCTTGTCATACAGGAGCTTGGAGTCTACTTTTCCAGGACTCTTAAAGAGCTACATAAGATATCAGCATTAAAATCATTAAAATCATAGTATTTCATGTTTTAAAGGTAAATATAAGGGCAGCAGAAGAGTATATATTTTCTGGGCATTTACAACCTGTTCCCAAGACAGTGGCTCTCAAACTTGAGAACACAGAGCAATCATTTGGGAGTTCTTATTTAAAATACAGATTCATGAACTCCTGCCCTATAGAATCTTACTTTGTAGGTTTATGGTGAGCCCTAAGAACCTGCATTTTCATATGCACTCCAGGGGATTCTGGTGTCGGAGTCCTACTTCTCGGGAAACACTCAGTCCAAGACATTAGGTATTTGTTTTCCTTATCCAGGAAGAGGAAAGTTGTAACAGTACAAATCCAATTATTTCCAAGTGAATTACGCCTACCCCAGCCTGACAGTTTGTCCAGTGCTTGAGCACATTACAGAGTATTAAAAAATTACCTGAAAATCATATTCCTTGAAAAAAACATGTTATAACGATATGGAAAGCTAGATATAGGCAGCTCTCACACTTATATACGCAAACATACACTCTAGGAAGCTTGTTTCAAAAGAATCTTGAACTTAATTATTTCTCCCCATTGTTGACCCAGCTTATAAGAATTAAGAGATAATATCCTTCCCAAAATCCAGCAGGCTGAGTTCCTCATTTATTACCTTGTTCCACATTCTCCACTGTCCCATACTGAGCCAAAAGTCCATCCAACACCTGAAAAAGAAAGCTTCAATGTCAGAATGGAAATACGAGATCGCACTCCCAAAAAACGGTACAGTGATACCCCCGGCAAATGAATTAAAGCAAAACAAGGACTATTATTGGAATAATCTAATTAAATTGATATTTCAGGTCTTCCATAAAAACAATTAGAACTGACTAAATATATGGGGCTTTCATTTGCTTATTGGCTCCCAAGTAATTTGTTCACTGAAGTGGCAGGGCAGAATTTCAGAGTCTTAGTAACTGTTAATCACATTCATCACAATGGTTGGAACCCACTTACTACTCTTGAAATGAGAAGCAGAATAAAGTACAAGGCTCACTTCTCCTTCTTGGAAGATTTAACCACTTTCCTTTGGTTTTCCTCTAGGAATCTCCTTATTTTATAAAGCAATGGGATACGCATGCTTGACAGTTTCCATAGTAAAACTTCTTTTTTAAGTAGTGAACATATCAGAATATTCTTTCTTTTATGGCTCGTTTGATTCCATTTGGGCTGGGGAATAAAATAGCAGGCAGTTTGTTTTTAAACAATGCAATAAAGCCACTCCTCATATTCTATCTTATTTTATGTTAATGTAGCAATTTTATAAGAAGTTTTACAATTCAGAACATATATCTTAACTGTTCCTCATAGCAATTAATTAAAAATAAACAAAAAACCTGCTCAAACGAACAAAGAACCTTCTATTTTGATCGGTTGTCCATAGGTTTTATTGTTTTTCAAAATCATAATTTGGAAAGGTAAAAGTCTTACAAAATCATGAAAGAAAAATCACAAAGCAGGTATACGTTTTGTTTCAGTTTGTTGATGCTTGGTGCTTAAGAAGACAGAACATGAGAGATCAAAGTGCACATCCTACAAAAGGAAAGGAACAGATATGATCCCAAACTCAGGACAGATCATACATATCAGGGTACTGAGAAAGTTAGACACAAAACCCAGAGGATTTGTGGGTAAATCTGAGGACCTCTAATTCCTAAATTGAAAGGGAACTAAGAGAGGGAGAAAATGTCTTGCTAACCCATTAAAAAACAAGATGAGGAAAGACAGCTGGAAGATGACAAATACAGAAGTGACACTGGCTTACCTCCCACTGCAGATGAGGAGGGATGTTTCGAATCTGAATTTTCCTGCTCCTGTAAAAATAAAAGCACAGACTGTCTATCATACTTTCTCTAGGACACAGACTTAATCAAATAACAAAAACAATCAGAGGGTTAGAGGGGTGGGGGTGGGGGGTAGATGAGGGTAAAGGGTGTCAAATATATGGTGATGTCAGGAGAACTGACTCTGGGTGGTGAACACAATGTGATATACAGATGATGTATTACAGAATTGTATACCTGAAACCTATGTAACTTTACTAACAATTGCCAACCCAATAAACTTTAATTAAGAAAATTAAAAAATAACAAAGACAGGCTAAGACCATAATTTGAGTTCATTTTCTCACTGTCTTCACCGAAGCATCAGCAAGAGATTCCCATGACCATCATGTCTTAAGGTTTTCAATTTTTTGGCAAAAAAATAAAAAACAAAACCAAGAAGTTCAAACAAGCTAAAGAAACAGTTTAAATGCAGATCTGCCTTTTCAATTTCCTACCAAAGCAGTTGACATTTAAATTGCCATACAGGTTCTAATTATAGAATTATCACCTTCCTCCTCAAAATATGGTCCTGCAACTGACCCTACCTGAAAAGTTACATAGGCTCAAACATGATGGGTAAAATCACACATATAATGGGCTAAACAAGATCAGATTTAGTTTACCTCTTATCTAACAGAGCAAATCTCTTTAGTAAAAATTTTATTTCTGGATAAGTCATAATTCAAAAATTAGAATACTATCAAAAGGTATACTGTGAAATGTCTTACTCTCACTCACCCCCTTCCTCATCTTTTACAGAAATAAAACATTTTTACTTGCTTTTGTATCCTTCAGTTTCTTCATGCAAATATTATAATAGCAAATACAAATATAAATTCTTATTTTCCCCCTTTTCTTTCAGAAGTATTTGCATATTCTACACACTTGCTGCATCTTTTTTTTTTTTCCCCCCACCTAACAGTATTATCTTGAAAATCTTTCTGTATTGGTAGAGTGTATTACGCTATCTGGATGTACTGAAGTGTAGTTAACCCATCACTATTGGTGGACATTTGGGCCTTCTCCTGACTTTTTGTTCAGAGGATTTCCCTCCTTCCCCTGCACCCCCGGACATCCTGCCAGTCTAATAACTGAGTTATTTAGATGGTTTCTTATTTTTATTTAAGCATTAAAATTATATAGAAAAGGATAGAAATATGAGAATAAGAAGTTTTCCATCTTTTGAGACTATTTTAGATCCTGGAAAGAAAACACAAATCAGCATTTAAATATGACAGAGGTCATTTTAATGGAAGGGCTTGACATTGAAATCCCATAAATATCCATTCTGGGGGTTGCAAGAGAAGGGATGTGATGACCACAGTGTACCCCCATTACTTTTTCTTTCCTTCTAGTGTCAGAGGTGCCAAATAGTGGCTGTACAAGCCACATGTTTCTTCATGCTTTAAACTGGGCAATAGTCCCAGAAAGAGATGTTACCATTCCTACAGAGAAAATAAAGAAGAGAGAAAAAGAGAGAGGTATACAGATAGAGAAAACAGGGAAACAATGAAGTAAATGGGGGCTCCAGTTTTCTCAGATCTTTACTGAATGAAAGGGGGGCCACCACTTGCATAGATCCCCTACACTACATCTGTCTTCTCTTAGTTCTTAAAAATGAGTCATTTAAGCAGCCCTAGTTCATGCTTTACTAGGGCTGCTTAAATGACTATACAAGCCAGTCTGTAGAACCTCTAATCTTTTATCAGGACAGGACCGAGGAAAAAGAACCAAAGACTAATTTCTACCTTTATGCTATGAAGGCTCTATTCTGACACTGCTTTTGGCAAGAGTTCACAGTAAAACTGCTGACACCACCCCACAGAGTGGCTACATGGAAAGCTCCACAGAAGGTGTCACAAGCCTAACTATTTACGGAAAAGGCATCTGAATCTGTAAGAAAACTGAATATTTCTCAAGAAAAATACTTTTGCTATCTTCAAGTGTAAACATTGACTCTGTTAACCAAGAATCTACTGGTAGAAATCTTACTGGAAGAAACTCATGCATGCACACCAAGAGATTTGAACAAAGACAGCTACTATCTTTTTACAGCACTGCTTGTAAAAAACAAAGATTGCAAAAAATATAAGTATCCACCAACAGGGAGAAAGTAATTCATAGTATAGCCATAATATGGAACGTTATACAGCTGTTATAAAGAACAAAGTAGACATATTTGCACTGTCACAGGGACCTCTCCAAAGCACGCTATTACAAGAAGAGAGCTAATTATAGATTAAGTTGATTCTGTCTTTTAAGTGTACAAAACAAAACTACATGTTATTAAATATGTGTATACATAAGTGCATAGAAAAAGGTAGCTACAAGCAAATTTGGTTGGTAAAAGGGGACATGTACTTTTTATTTTAGCTACGTCTGTCTTACATGCTTTTTTAAAAATGAGAATGTATTTATGTCTTACTTGCTTTTAAAAATTCACAACTGAAAACTCCTACTAGGCTGCTTTAATAAATATATACAAGACTTATTTTTTAAAAGTATAGAGGAATCTGCTAAGTAAGAAAAAAGGGAGAACAAAACCCAAACACCTCACCTTTTCCATAATTAGTGTAGATATTCTTGAAATATTATTTGGCAGAATATTAATTTATTTGGCAAACGCTTTGTTCACAGTGCATAACTAATCAAACTCTACCCAGTCCAGGTTATCCCAAATCCTAACTAATGGGTCTAAAACACTGATGTCTCCTGGGCTGGCTGAGTGGCTCAGTTGGTTAAGAGCTCACTCAAGAGTGCGAGCTCTGAGCAACAGGGTTGCCGTTTCGATTCCCAGCCCGAGCTGAGCTGCCTGCCGCTGAGCTGCCAACAGGTGGCAGGATGGCTCAGCTTATACGCGCAAATTTTTTTTCAATAAATATACAGTTGGCCCTCCATGCCCCCAGGTTTCACATCCGTGGATTCAATAACTACGGATCAAAAAGAGTATTTTCGATCCATGATTGGGAATTCATGGATGCAGAGGGACAACTGTATGCATTGTTCTACGCCATTTTATACAAGGACTTGAGCATCCGCGGATTTGGGCATCAATGGAGGTCCCTGAACCAATCCCCTACAGATAACAAGGGACAACTAGTTACATTTTGAGAAGACAAAGTCACATACAGATTTGACTGTGTGGGGGTTGGTGCCCCTAACTCCCGCATTGTTTAGGGATCAGCTGTATAGCCCTACAGCCATCTGGCTTGGCTGGGGAACAGGCTCTACTAGCTGATTCTATATTCTGGTTAACTGGTGATAGTGGTATACACGTGTAGACTACCAATAAAAAACGATGAAACAAAATACACTTAAACCCTAGCTCTCCTACCTCTAATGTAGTTGATAGTTTCCCAGGCTCTTCAAAATACTCTATGTGCCTCAGGGCAGTTTTTAAGAATTATATCATTATATCTTTGTACTGTAAATGCCCAAAGGAAACAGGAGGTTCCAACTGAATGAATTTCAGATAAACTAGATGTCCACTGTTAGGAATTTCAAGGGCCTAGCAGAAATTATTTTGTATGGGTAGAATTTGTTGCTTAAAATAACTAGGTCACCAGCTGGGAAAATAAAATCATATTTAATAGTTGAGAAATCTCTGTGATTCTGGAGAACTATTTCATCTGTACTAAAAAAAAAGAAAAAAAAAGTAAAATGCCTGTTTGCATGTGGGGAAGATAATGCCATAAATTTTAGGCATATGGTCAATTAGTCACAAGTCTGATCAGTGGCCACCTTGGGAACTCTAACCCAAGCCTTGACCATGCTGGGGGCCTGAGTAGAGAATGAAGTTACAAGTAAATTGTGGGAACCCAGCTCATAGAATCTCAGGTTCCATTTGAAAATGGAACCAGCTAAGGCTTGAAGGATCCCTAAAGTGCAAGAGAAGCAAGAGAGGAAGCAAAGAGAGTCCCATGAGAGAGTGTTGGGGTTCAATGAGAGACTCTATCCAACTAGGTTCCATTCGCTTCTATAGCCATTCTGAGCTCCATCAGATGACAGACTCATGGTCTTCATCTTGAAGGGAAATTACAGAATCATGGATTGTGCATTACCTGTAAGAGAGGTATGTGTGCTCACCAACTCCAAGGACTGTGGCAGAGCAGAGACTGAATCTACCAGAGCTCTCCTCCCCACCCTGTCCTCTAGTGCAATGGTCAGATTTCACTGCACCCCATACCCTCATTAGTACTTGTTTGAGGCACTTTATCTGCTACCCAGTCCTCATTAGTTCTGAAAGTTCCAGTTAAAACTTCCGAACAGTCTGTGCAAGGGACATTCTGTGCTAAATTGAGCTAGGACCAAGGGCTCCTCTAGGAGCGAATGAATAACTGGGGAGAGCCAAATCCAATCCTCTACCCTACTGTCTTTTAAAGTTCTCTCTCTCTCTCTCTCTCTCACACACACACACACACACACAGAGAATGATTAACAGTCAATAAAACAAATTGTTTAGTTACTTTGTTACAAAATTATTAACAATAATAATTGCCTTTGGCTTCTATGGAATCTAATAAAATAAATGTAGTATAAGGGCTGGCGGAGTGGCTTAGTTGGTTAAGAGCTGGTTTAAGAGTGCAAGCTCTGAGCAACAGGGCCGCCAGTTTGATTCCCACACGGGCCAGTGACGCTGCACCCAAGCTGAGCTGTCACTGAGCTACTAACAGGTGGCAGGATGGCTCAGCTGGTGAGAGCATGTGCTCCTAACAAGGCTGCCTGTTCGATGGTGGCTATGCCCACCCACAACTAAGACTGAACTTGGCACCTTGAGCTGAGCTGCCGCCCAGATGGCTCAGAAGATAAAGTGTGTGCTTTTAACAACAAAGCTGCTGGTTCGACTCCGCATGGGATGGTGGCCCACCCGCAACTAAGACTGAACTCAGCACCTTGAGCTAAGAGGCCATGAGCTGCCGACGGGCAGCCAGATGGTGACTGGCACCCTCCACAGTGAAGACAGAAGAACAACAACTTAGCTGGTCCCC